ATTTGGGGTTTCCCTTCTCCACCTGTCTGCTGTCACTAGGCAGCTGCTCCACTTCAACACCCTTCTGATGAGTATACATTTTCTCCTGATTCCCAGCCTAAAGAGGAAGTTATTTCCATTTATTCTTCTGCAAGTACTGGGAGCTTGTACCTGCTTTGCTCTTTCTCTCCTGGTGTGCACATAAAATGCCAAAGCCAAGAGCATTTCCTTGTTTAAATCATGTCATTTGTCCTTATTATTTCTTTCCCATAAAATTGCATGGATTCGGTGCTGGCTCAACACTCAGAATATTGACAGCACAAAGTCCAGTTCTTACACTGACCTCTCCAAGTTTTGGACCAAGCCTGAAAGGAAGGAAATACAGCAAAGAAATTCCAAATAGGGGCCCTAATAAAGGTAATAAAATGCCACCTGTGTTTGCTGCATGGAAGAATAGTGCTGCTTATTAAATCATTACAAACAATTAAAGCAGCAGAGGGGAGGAAGACAGCGCTATTGTTTCCAGCTCCCCAGCCCTCTGCCACTGGCAGGAATTTCATAAAGCACAAATCTCCCAGCAGAAATCCCTCAGCAATTGATTTGCTGCTCGTGGAACACAGCAGGCACACACCCTGGTTTTCCTGACCAGAAAAGGAGAATTTGCCTCGATGTTTTTCCCTCGATGTTTTGTGATGTCAAATCCCCCTCCCTGCCCTGAAGTGACATGTTTCTGTAGGGTGACAGCCCTCTGGAGAGGCACAGAGAGCTTTGTGTCAGTGTAAGGGATCCCCACAAGGGCAGATCCCTAATTCAGGCTCCATCTCTGCTTACATGCAGTTCCTAGCAGAAAATTCATTGCATTTCCCCAGAACAGGTAATTTCAAGCACAGAGCTGTTCTGCCTTCCACAAAAGCAGCGTTCCAGGGATTGCTTTGGAGACCAGCATCAGGAAACACAGCAACACCTAACAGCCAGGACCATCCAAACCCACTTATCAGCTCGCCCCCACATCTCCTGGACTCACTTGAATGCCCAGGAGAGTCTGAAGAGCCAACTGTTTTCTAAGAAATGGTTGTGCAATCAAAAGGTAAATGACAGGGACAACCAACCCCACACAGGTGCCCCAGGCAGGAGAAAGAGCAGGAGGGATCCATCCCTTACTGACAGAGGGCTCAAGTGATGCTCTCTCACTGTTTGGGTTGTTTTTGTTGCTTTTACATTAAAAACACATCCTCTCAGGAGACAGTCTCATTTAAATCTTCTACCTCTTTAGCTTTGTACACTCAGCCCATTACATTGAAAGATTTTATCTTAATTTCTTCTCCAGGAAAGAAGTAATTGATCTTTTATTTGTGGCACTTTAAATTGGCATGTTGACTACAAAAATCCACTGCTCATCACATCAAAAGTTATCCAATAGTGCCAATTACTCCAGTAATGGAGATCTTTAGAAGGATGGGTGGAAAGGAACAGGATCAAAATGGATGGGTCTTCTCAGAGGAAGAAGCAGCATCTGGGAAGACAGCACAGCTTTAAATTAGGATATCTGCTGTGCATGGCAAGACAAAACACAGCCCATTCCTCATTCTGGCTCTGGATGTGGTTCAACCCACTCGTCCCCAGCTCTGCAGGTGTGGTGGAGTCTGATCCTCACTCCCCTGGCAAATGACAGAGCTGAGTTGATCTCAGCCTGGAATCCCTGAGGGTTGACAGCAAGGACTCCTACCAGATGTAACTTGTGTTTGCAACAAGCACAGCATCCACTGGCAGGGAATGATTTGCTCTTCATCCTTCCCACTCTCCAGGTATTTCTCTAGGAAAATCCACTCTCTAATGGGGACAAAGCAGTAGATATGGAAGGCTCTGTGTGCCCCAAAAAGCCACCAGCCTGTTCACCCCACAGCTCTGCCACTCACAGCCACCAGCTCTGCACAGAGCAGGCAGCAAACTGGTCACTACTGGCACTGCCTGTGGTCTGAACTGGGAATGGTGGATCACCATCAAGCTGCAAGTGTTTTCTAGTGGGAAGTATTTTACCCAGTTCCATACAGATTCTGGTTCTGGGTCAGCCCCACAGCAGCTTTGGGGAGTGTTTAGGTCAACAGGATCTCCCCAGGCTGCAGCTGGAGGTTGGGGCCTCCTTCCAAACTACAGCACAGTAAAAAAGATATACGAAGGTCACAATGAAAAATCCTCTGCTTAGCCTTCTTTAGTGTCTCTCAACTCCTAATTCTGATTGTAAAATGCTATTTAGGAAGATCAGACTGATCAAAATCAGGACACCTTTGTGGATTTTTGTAAAAATGTGTTTTGAAGCTTTAAGATGACGGATTTTCACTGAAGTCGTTATTCCTCTTACAAGTTTTTCAGCATCCTGTTGTTTTGACTTTCCAGTCTTATCTCCTGCCAACTTTTACCTGCCCAGAGCCAATTGTTTTGCTGACAGCTGCCATGCCCATGTGCCATTTTCTGAGCATCACCTGCATGAAGCCTCAGGGGCTCACTAAGGAAAACTCACTCCTTCATATTCTTTGCAGAACCAGGGAAGATCTTGCTTGGAAGATCTCTTGCCCAATAGAAAAAAAGAGTTTTTTATTCAAACCTACTCTATGTGCCATCACTGATGTATTTTTGACTCAAAGAAATTTGTTTATTTTCTGTTCTTAAATCAGGAGTGAGCAGCTCCATGAGCAGCACCACAGCAGAGGAAACACAAAGAGGCTGTTACTCAAACGCCATCTCTGAAGAGGTTGTGCTCTGCTTTTCAGATGAGATTAAGAGCTCAATTACAGTAGAGAAAAAGGCTTTCATTAAATCACAGATAGAACATAATAAGGACAAATTACAAAGCTCTTCAGAAGCAAATCTGTGTCAGACTGCTGGGTAAGGAGGCCCTTTAGAGGAGGCCTTCAGAGGTCTCTCCTGCCCTTCTGAAGAAATGAGTCCCGCACACTTCATCTCACCATGTTTTTGAGGAAAGCTCACAACCAGATTCCTATGGGGCATCCAGTGTGCAAATCCCATGGACAGAAATATCCAGTGGCCTCTGGATTTGCAGATGTGAACCTGGAGGTGAGGGACTGGATGCTTTTCCCTCCCCAGAAACCCAAGGCACTGCATGGCAGAGCTCAAAGTGGCCAGCAAAGGGTTACCCAGAATCCTGCACCTGAGAAAGGGGAAGCCCAGGTTCAGTCACAGAGTCGTCACCACTTGATTTTGTTCCCTTGTTATTTTGCTCTCCTGGAATGTATTATGGTTAATTAAAGGCAGTTAGCTAATTGGATGGTAAGCAGATGCTGGTTAAAAAAAACCAAACCACTGTTCCCCTTTGAAATGTCAGATAGGAGATTAATTGAAATTCCCTTTGAAAAGATATCCCCAAACCTCCTAATCTGTTGATGGAAAAAGTCAAGGAGAAAAGAAAGAACAATGTTTTTCAGGAGGTTTCACAACTGAGGCAACTGCAACCGCCATCAAGCATTAGGATTGAGGATTGTCATTGCCACACCAGGAAACCTTTCAAAGTCTCAAAATCTTCCACTGAACAGCAGTGCCAGAATGCCCCAAAGCTGAATAACAATCCCATGAAGGCATAATATTTCCACCAAGACCAGGATGAGATGAGTAGGAGAGGATGACTGGGGCTCTTCAAAAGCCAGACCTCAGAGCTGAGACAGGATTTAATCCTGATATCCCTCTGGTTATCCAGAAAAGGATCAAGACACCTGAGGGAGCTCAGAAAGCCAGAGTGCTCAAAAAAGCAGCATGTACACAGAAGGAAGAAGAGAAATGATACAGCTGGATGCTTCCTAATGCTCTTCTTTGGACCGACCTGGTGCAGTGAGTCACAGAAAACTTGCTCTAAACATGAGTGACAGAACTGAAAATGCTCACTGATAAGTGTGGAGAAATGGCTACATGACAGAGGTCATGTAGACATTCGCTTGTTAGCCAACCAGGGGCTGGGAAAGTACCAAACACAGCTAGTTTGAGTTTTTGCACCTGCAAGATAGCGTGTCCTTGGGCCTAGCTGGGTATGATAACAAGTAGACAGAGAGACGTGGGAAATAGGGAATGTAGGCCCAAAGGAATGAGGAAGAGTTGATGGTATAGTTTAACCAATAGATCGCTTGGCTTACAGAATATTCATAAGCTTATTATTTGGTGTATAAGTGTCTGATGCTCTCTTCAATAAACGGAACTTGCTTATCACTCATATTGAGTGTCCGAGTCTCCCCTCACCAACAAATGGCCCATCCCCGACAAAGGCCTCATTCTGCAACAAATGGCTGCCCGAACAGTGACCCTATGGACCCTACAGACTCTACAGACCCTACAGACCCTACGGACTTTACAGAAGATTTGGGCCTGCGAGCCATGGTCGGTACAGTATTTGGGTGTCCGTCCCGACGCAGCCCGGGAGGCACAAAAAGCGGGCCCTGCCTTAGGCGACCATACAGAGCAGTCTTGGAAAAAGGCGAAAGGGTGGGCTTCAGTGCCCTGGCAACCTCACAGGAGAGTTCAGCTGACTGAATGCCTGGCGACCTCACAGGAAAGTCCAGCTGATTGAATGCCGTCAACGTTTTGCAAAGGGTTGCAGCAGCGCTGACTATCAGGTTAGAAGGTAATGGAAAGGCAAGAGGCTAATCACCTTTTTAGATGCTTTTTAGAGAAACGAGGATTACAGGGTATAGATTTCCTTTTTAGAAAAGCGGGGACTATAGACTGTTGACTTGGGAAGAGAATTCCAGAGATTGCTGCATATACACTTGCAAAAACGTGCGTTATGGTGCTGGCACTGCAAGTATATGCACAGTGGGTCAGCGACCCTGCTGTGATGGCGGCAGCAGCCACGGCTCGGGGCACCTGCGGGGCTGTGCCACTCCGAACTCGGCATGGGCGCTGTGCCGTGGGGAGCAGCCACGGCGGGCAGCTCACCTGAGATGCTGCGCTGCAGCGGCGGTAGCGGCGGCAGCCGCAGGGGGAGCGGAGCCGCCACTGGGGGAGCGACCCGCGCCGCCATGGGTGCAGTGCTGGGTGCGGCGCGCGCAGTGAGTCAGCCTGCCGGCGAGTCTCGCGAAACAAGGAGCCCAGCGCAGGGGGTTCACCCGCTCCGACACAAGCGGCGCAAGACCAGAGCGCTTTTCCAGTGCGAGCGCTTCTCCCTCCGCCCCGCAGCCAGCAGGGGCCTTAGTTTCGACTTGGCAACCTAAACAAACTGTACCTTAACAGACTCCAAGTATAGCTGCGCAGCTCAGCCGGCGCCGCCATGGACAGTGTCTCCGGGGCGCAAAACTTGGTGCGGCCGGCTGGCGCTCAGCGAGCAGCAATACGAACAGCCACAGAGCCCGAGCGAGGCGGGTGGTGCCGTGCCCGCGGTGCGGTGCGGTACGCACCGGCAAGGCTGAGTGTGCGGAACTCAGCGGCAGGCGGGCAGCCCGTGGTGGGGGCCGCCGTGCCCTGCTGGCAGCCTGAAGCGACGGCAGCGACGGCGCAAAGAGGGCGCAGCGCGGTGGGGGGGGCCCACTGCCGTGGGGCTGCGACTCGCGCCGCCGAAATGCTGCGCTGCGTCCAGCAGCAACTCCGTTAACCCACTGCACCACAGCGACACCAGCAGCGGCGACCCAATCCCAGGGCCTTCCAAGCGTGACTACTTTCCCACCTCCGCCCCGCGGCCGGCAGAAGCTTCAGTTTTAGACCTAACAGCCGTAATAAATGTGACTCTTGTCAAAAAAAGAAAAGATCCCTACTGCAGTTAGGAAACCAGTGATAATAAATAGGCGACACCAAGGAGCATTACTATCAAGACGTTCCTCACCTAAGTTAAAAAGACTTTTTGTTCTTCCTGTCAGAGACTGTGAAATAGAATGAGTAGTGAATGCGTGGGCCAAATTTCGGCCGATTTGGCTTAGCATCCATTATTGCTGCCTTAAAATCACCTGTATTAACATAGACTTTAACATCAGAAGCCCAGATAACTCAGTCGGTGGAATATCAAACTCTGAAATTGTATTTTGAAAAATTTAAAAATGTTAAAGACATGTTAAAGCGATTGTATAAGCAAGATGTAATAAGTGTACTTTTTGTATTCTTTGAGCTTTGCTTGGATGTAGTAGATGTAAAAGCAAGCACTGAATTCAAAAGAATTTTTCCACAGCTACACCTTGGACAAACTCCTTATGTTTAGGTGCATTCAAGTGTAAAAATGCTGTAGCAAACACATGAAAGAAGTTGTTTTAGCTTAGTATTTTAGAGTCAGGCCTATAAGTAAGTTATAGTAAATTCTACATTCTATTCTATTTCTATAGTAGGTTCTATCTGTTGCTAATAGTTTAAGTTAAATTATCTATTTAGTGCCAATAAATGTTAAATACTGTTAAGGTTGTTTTGTTAAGTTTATGTCCTGTTAGGTTTAAGTGCTGTTCAGTTTAGTTTCTGTTAAATTTAGGTGTTATTAGGTTTAAGTGAAGTTAGATTCTGTAACATTTAAATTATATTAAGTTTAAGTTATGTAGAATTTAAAGTCAGTTGATTTCTGTTAAAATTAAGTTCTGTTAAATTTAAGTGATTTTACATGTAAGTTCTGTTGATTTGAAAATCTGTTAAGTTTAAGTTCTGTTAAGGCTAAGTTTTGTTAAGGTTAAGGTCTGTTAAACTTAAGTCATGGTAAGTTAAAGTTCGTTGAGATTAATTTCTGTTAAGTTTAAGTAAAGATAAGTTTAAGTGATGTTAAGTTCTGTTAAGTTTAAATATTTTAAGGTTAAGTATTTTAAGTCTAAGTGCTATTAAGTTTAAGTGATGTTATACAGATTTATGCTTTTATGCTAGGCATTTATTTTATGACTTTTGTGCAAGGTGTTGTCGTGAACATCAGAGAAACTCTAGTTAGAAGAGACAATCAGAAGCATTTGTGAGTAGAGCCACTCCTGTTTGAAGTATATCTGCTGTTTGAGAATGGAAAGCAAACTTACCAGACAATCGATGCAGATGAAACCTGCGCACATGTTGCTCCTGTAGCTTATTTTTGTAGGTTGTATTGGCACACCTGAGTTTTGTTTGAGCCTTGTAGCAGCATAGAATCCTTTTTGTATCTGTCTTATGGCATACCCTATAAATAGTGATAGCCTTTTCGGTTTGTCTCCCTGGCTTAGATCCCTTGTAAGAGAGAAACCTTGCTAGTGGAGAACACTGCTTGTAATGTAATAGTTGTTAGAATTGCCTATTCTTGAATTGCAAAGAGTATGACGCAGTTAACCCATCAAACCTTGCCTGTGCAACAAGAAAACAGGGGAATTTTGGAGAAATGGCTACATGACAGAGGTCACGTAGACATTTGCTTGTTAGCCAACCAGGAGCTGAGAGAGTACCGAACACAGCTAGTTTGAGTTTTGCACCTGCAAGATAGCGTGTCCTTGGGCCTAGCTGGGTATGATAACAAGTAGACAGAGAGACGTGGGAAATAGGGAATGTAGGCCCAAAGGAATGAGGAAGAGTTGATGGTATAGTTTAACCAATAGATCGTTTGGCTTACAGAATATTCATAAGCTTCTTACTTGCTGTATAAGTGTCTGATGCTCTCTTCAATAAACGGAACTTGCTTATCACTCCTATTGAGTGTCCGAGTTTTCCCTTACCGACAAATGCCTCATCCCCGACAGAGGCCTCATTCTGCTACAGAGACCTATTCTACAAAGTTCCCTTAGCCAAGGTGCAAAGCTCTGTCCTTGGAACAAATCATCTAACCATGACCCACCATCTTCCTTAATTGGAGCTGTCAAATCTTTCAGCTTTTGTATGCTTTTGTGGATGGATTCAGAGTGATCAGAAAGGTTCATGCAACACAATCCTTCAAATTCCTCACAACCATGTCCATGTGCCTGTAAAAGAAAATCAATTGCTGCTCTGTTCTGTAAAGTTGCATGTCTGACAGCACTAACATCAGTCATCATGTCACTAATTGCAATGGAAGTAGCACTGTCTTCTTTCTTCAGACAACACCCCAATCGGTATAGTGGTTTCATGCCTCGCCCGAGGCAAGTTGATGGAGAAATCAAGTTGATGTACCTCATTTTGCAGGGCCCTAGGGTCTGAAATTGCTATTACAGTTTTCTTTTTAATGATGGGCACATCTTTTTTCTCTGTGTTTTCTCTTGATGGCTTACTTAACACTAGGTGCTATCACAGTGAGTTGTCTGATGCTACATGAGCCACATTTAATTTCTGAGGGAATGTCCTGCCAGGCTTTATCTCCACAAATGAGCCAATATTCTGTTGCTTATTGTCATGGGGACTCATCTAGGTCATCTACTTGTCAGCAGTTTCACCCTTAGGGGACACTGGGGTAGTACAATTGCACCCCAAACTTTAGTATCTGTCCTCAGGATGATGGGGAGTAACATTTAACTGTGGATCTCCCTGGTACTGAAACTCAGCACAAAATTCCATCACCAATGAACCAGGAATTCCAATTCTTGAGGTTCAGAAGGTGCTTTAAGAGGATCAGGGGCTCAGTGATGCCAGCTGGTTATGGGATTGGTCTCGTTGGCAGCCTCACACCAATATTTGTCACGATTGGGTATTGGCTACTCCTTGGCTGGCACAGGCACACCGACCAAACAGGTTGCAAAGGATTTGTCTGGGCTCAAATTGGTCAAACACATGGTGTCTGAGCCTGCTGACTTGGCTAAAGCAAGGCAAACATTCATTTTTGGTTGATCTACAGGCATGTATGCATGCAAAAGCAAGCAAGAAAAACCAACAAATGCCAGTATATCATTTGATCAAACTCCATGTTCCTGTTCAGCTGTTTTTTGGCAAAAGCTTCCCCATCTATTTCAGTTCTCAAGCAAATCTTTTAGCACTTGTTCAGGGACTGGCCAACTATAGGGCACTAACCTTCAATTTTTACAAATTTGGATATCTTAGACTTCTTTTGAACACAATGGACACCACGCTTTTGCTGAAAGAGCTCTGTGATACAAACCATTTCCACAGTCCAAAAATCAACATCAAACTCAAGATTTGTAGCTTTCACAGGTTGAACAGGGAACGTCTGGCATGAACCGTACCTTCTCCGTGCAGCTCACGTCTGCGTGCTCATTTCCCTGCAGCTGGAATTGTCGCTGTGCTCTTTCACATCCTTCGTGGGGACCCACTTAGGTCCAGCACCTGTGCAAATACAAGCATACCCTTTGCCCCAAGCGATTAGTGCAAATGGTCCTTCAATTTGTCCTAACTGAAGGTTTCTGATCAAAACTGAAGGATTTTCTTTCAATTTTGCCTGTGTGCTGTTTGAAAAGTGCCTAAAAATTGGAGGATTAGGTCCTGCAAATGAGCTATTCAAAACATAAAGACGTCTAAAGCTTTGCTCAACCTCATCTGGGGTATTGCTTCAGCCATTCCCCCTTTTGTTGATCTAGAATGGGTTTTACAGTGGTGCATCCTTTTAACAATTTCCTGACCTGTATGGGAATAGGGAATTCCAAAAGTGTGGCGAACATCCCGGTCCATCAAAAATGTGGCCAATTTTTGAGCTGTGTATGTGGGACCATTTGTCAGTTTTCATCTCGTGGGGGATCAGTTTGGCGAGCTGTGGACCCAGTGACACTGACAAGGACAAAAGCAAAAGACAAGAGGCGCTCTCTCTTCCCGGGACCAAAATCCCACAGCTTTAATGGAGAACAGCTCCAGGAGAGAAAAGGAGTGTCCAAGGGAGGAAAGAGGATGTCCAGGGGAGGAAAGAGAGCGTCCACCTCGTGGCAGAAGACTTTAAACCCTTGGGGAAGGGGGTGGTAGAAAGGAACTGCCATAGTTCAACATGATAAATCACCACACTGTAGTTTTCTGCATAAATTGCTGCACTTGTTGCAAACAAAATCCTAAAATCTCCCCAAACACAACCGTGCAGTCCCAAATGACCACAGTGTGGGAGAAAAACCATTCAACCCCCCTGTATACCCAAGCACCAGGTGTCACAGGGAGCACCAACCCCTGCAATTAGAAAGTCCACACACACAGGCTCACTGGGAAAGGAGTATCTCTTTACGAGGGG